GGCTCTCAGTTACGACTGATCCCCCCCTCTGTTCTCCTAAAAATCAAGTGATCCCCCCCAAAATCCTCCGACCCCCCCAGGTGATAAATAATGACCGGTCCCTTAACTTCTTAACTGGCAGTTAAACTATAAGCTAATAAAAAAACAATAGAAGGAGTAGAAGATAATAGTAAAGACATTGTCTTTTTTTTTTTTCAGTTTTCATTTCCGCGCTCATCGCCGTTTGTGTTATGTTCCTTATCCAAAGCATTATTATCGCTTGTTTGAGTTACAGACTCAAAAAATTCCAAGAAAGGTAAGACTTTGGATGGTGAAGATGGTTAAGAAGCCCTTTAATTTGTTTTGTGTGTTTGTTAGCTTTTTGAGACTTGGCCTCGCCTGCGTAACAGGCGCTTGCAAGTAATATGGGCACAAGAAAGAACAGCGCGCACTATGGGAGAAGCGAGGGGGGAGGGAGTATCTCGCGCCCCGTTCTCTCTCGCACCCATACGAAGGATGGCCTTGACCGTACACAGATCGGAGTGTAATAGCATTCCCATAATTTAACCTTCTGATCAACAGAAACGTCTCCTGCATTTATTTATTCGCAATTGAGACTCATCGGATAGCGCCATGGTCTGGGAGCCATCAACTTTGGATAGTCGGTGGAATCACAATCGCAAAAGAATCTGGGTGGGGTAGAATTAGGGCTGAGAATTCGGGACACTATTAAGAAAATTCTTTGATACGTTTGAAAGCAAATATTTAGCCACTGATACTCGAGGAAACACTTTTTACTGGCTAACAGTCAGAACAAGTTAAAGTCGGATCAATTTTGTAAAAACTTGGCGTCAACTACAATGGTGATAATGGCATCCGTTGTAGCATTCTCTTCCCACCAAGTTCTCACATTGCGTGACTTTTTGATACGAGAAGATTAAAAATGTTTCTGAAAAGAAATGTATCAAATACAATACAATACAATAACTTTATTTAAAGAGGGAAGCGCAATAACCTATTACAGTTTTCTAACCTACGGCCCTCGGAAAATAAATAAATAGATAAATAAATTTAGAAAACTAAAAACAAATAAATTTATAAATATATATATATACACAAAAGAGACAATATTTAAAGTAGAATAGGCTATAGACACGTAATGAATAATATATAAATCGACGAAGGGGGGCAAAATACTAAGTACTAAATGAACATGTATACATATATACATAAATATAAATCAAAAGACGTAATAGTGGTTGTAGTAGGAAGTCCTATGAAAAACAGTGACATTGAATAGAATAGCGGCAAGTCGAGCACAGTAGATCCTCCAAGTGCTCAGCCGATGATAGGCGTGAGAAAAACAGACTTCGTAATTTAGACTTAAGAGAGGAGGGAAGAAATTTAAATATCAGTGGAGAAGAAGAAATGGAAAACTCTTTTAAGTCGGAACTGAGGTCATTAAAAAGTTTAGTAGCAGTATAGGCCAAGGTGCGTTTCCCAGAGTTGCTATGTGGGCATGGCACCTTTAAGTCGTAGAGAGAGGCTCTTGTAAAACGGCCCAAAGGCTCTTGTAAAGCGGTCAAATGAAATGTCAGTCTGCATAACAGGCGTTTTATTTATTTATTTATAAATTTTTTGCAGGCCAATAGAATGTATATGGTCTTAAAATGTGAAATTGCTTTTATTTTCAGGGTAGAATCAATGAATTCATCCATTGGATCGTACAAAAACCATGCGTTTAATCCATACTTCTCCACGAGTGAGTCAGGGATCAGTGAGATAGAAGACATAACATATATGCCGGTAATCAAAACTTTACTTGAAAAAATTTTTAAAACGCACAGCAAATTCTATGTGAATTTCTTGACTTTTTCTCTCGCCAGGAGCCTTTATGATATATTTCTATGCCAGTCTGTCTCATAATTCGGAAAAAAGTGTAATTTCTTGAAAATAAAGAACTGGGAATACTTTAATATTAAGTATTGGTGCCATTTTATGCCAGACAGTCTGAAAGCCGGAACTGTAGGCTATTTTTTGTTTTCATTTTAATCATTTTTTTATTTCTTATCTTCTGACACGACCTAACAAGAATGCGACACCGTAGCGTATTTCATGGCCTGCATGCACGACTACAAACCCTTAGAACTGGCCAGTGGAAACATGCACTGTTTTTAACCCAGTGTTCGCTGCACTCATCCGCGTGTAACTTGGAAATTATTTTAATCACTCCCCACCCTAAAATTTTAATGATAAAACGTAGAAGATTAGATGACCGAATCTCCTTAGATGAAACAGGGTTAGATTAGGTGGTAGAGCGATGAACTACTGAGTGCCGCCGAGTGGGATATCCTGGCCTCGATCCCCGGGACCGGATTGATACGCATAACTGACTTCACCCTGCAAACGGTTAGACAGACCTTCATGCTGCTCGGATGACCACGCAGAAAAATGGCAGCAGGACTAGTTTAGTCGGTAAAGCCCTTGACTGCAGGGCGCGAGGTCTCGGAATCGATCCCCGGGACGAGGGTCCTCGATAGGTTTTTCGGAATACGGGATTTTAAAGCGAAAACGGGGCGAGATTCGGGATTGAAAGTATGGGTACGAGTTACAATGCCCGAAAAAACCCTCAGGATTACGAGATTTCAAGAAGTTTTGGTTCGTGATTATGGGATTGAAAAACCCTATTGGGGACCAATACTAAGGGAGACTCGGTACTGCCAGCACCCCGCAAACGGCTAGATCTTTACTTACCTTGGATGGTCACCAAAAATTGGCGGCCCCGTCTCCAGGAGTGTCCTCAATTAGTACCTTCGAGCTAAATGCATTGACATTGAGATGCGTTTTTATGACGTAGAGGGGAAAAAAACTGTGTCCTTGATAAGCACTTTCGTGCTAAATACATTGATAATTGAATAAAGTACTTTCGGAAGTATTTTGCAGCAACTATATATGAACTGTTAACTAGCCTGCCTAGCAGGCGCTAGGAATTAATGTTCACAAGAAAGAACGGGCGCACGCGAGGTGTCTCCCTCGCGCGTTCTGTTCTTTCGGGCGCCCATTTAATACTTCCAAGCGCCTGCTACACAGGCTAACTGTTAGCACACCAAATTCATGAGCATGAGCTATTTCAGTCCAAGTAACTTAACACATCCACCAAGACACTGAATCTCTGTGTTTCTCCTGTGCCAGCAAACTCGTACGCGTCGTTTTACTGCAAGTTTTCCCACTGATAATAACAACGCCAACCAAGTTCCAAAGGGGAGTTCAAACCTAGCTGAATTTACCATTGTTGATGCAAATGACAGGCAAAAGCAGATCTGGTGAGTGAAACCGATATACCATGAATATTACACCCCAGGAAAAAAAAAGTTTCCATTGAGCTTACGGGGGGTAACCACCTGGTGCTCGATTATCTTTAGCTCCTCAGGTAATTGAACAGTAGCCTGGGAATGGCCTCACTTGTACGAGTTTGGGGAAAATTTTGTGGGTGGGGCCGCGCGCCATTCTTGTCGCGCGCTGACAGCTCCGCCCTCAAGGTTTTTCCCGACCTCGCAAAAGTGAGCATTCTTGCAGGCTACCGTTCAATCACTCAGGTTTGGAATGCAAAACGTAAGCTTCACTTAAAAGCCAAAGTAAACATATTGAGTTGAATATAATTATCAAGGTGCGATTTAACTTTTCAGATTAGTTCGTTTTAGTGAATTCGGCAATAAACACCGTGGCAGAGGGCATGTTTTAAATGTGCTGGCACGATTTACTTCCTAAGTTCCCCGCCCCCCGCATCCCCCTCCTCTAAGATGCCTAACACGTGAGCGATTTTCAAATGAACAGTTTTTAACTCAATGTGAACTAAATGGTTGACAAAAAAAATTCTATGTACGTGCTTACTTCGTCTTTTTTTTATTCACGGTAGATTTGATTTTTTTTCTTTTTGTTGAATTGGAAACCGACGCAAAAATCTCACACTGCTATATATTGACAATTATAACTTGCACTCAGAACGATTATTACTGACACCAGAATTATCACCTTATCTTACAGGGGCTTGTATTGATCTCAAAGAACCGATGTCCAGGATGTGCAGGCGAATACCCTAATTTGTTACTCTTTCGTCTGAAAGAATTACAGCTGAAAGCTGTATAACTTCCCAAGCATCGTTTTATTTGTTGTGGTTGCTTAAAATGTAGAGACTTATATCACATTGTGTTTCTAAGGAGAGTGCTACCATGCATTTACACATTACTGTCAGTTAAATTTGTCTTTTGGGAGTAAAATGCGTTATAAAGTATATACAAACCAGTTGGATGAACAGACAAAAAAGAGTAGAAATACAGCACCTTCTTAAACGACAGCCTATATATTTTCGGAAGCTTATGACTTGAAACATTCGATTCTCTAACGAGAACTTTCGGTTCTCCAATGTAAGGGTACTGTACCCTCATGTTGCGAAAACTGTGTTTGATTAGGTATTGTACTGTGGTATGGTTACTGTTTAGAGACAAGAGAGGATAAAGCGTATAAGTGACTAAGTATTTTGATCTTTTATATTACGTCATTCATCAGCGATCACAATATCCGTCCAGCGGGGCGCGAGTCGATTGTCGAAATTGCGGTTTAGTTGTTGAAAATTATAGGTTGGTACCATTTAGACTGCATACATTGAGGAGACCCCATTAAGAGCTATCACAGGGCCTTTAAGATTGTCAACTCAAATGAATTTTTGGTACCTCTCAAGGATAATACCTAAGAAATGAGATTCGTTCCGTAAATTTTAAATGCAAGCTTTGACTATGAATTTTTGTTTCTACCTATAGTCCGATAAGCCTTTTTACAGATGTGCCCTTAGTGCGTTGGCCTTTAAATCTTGTTTTGTTACAAACCTTCCTTTTCATGCATGTGCAAATCATGTTATCCTCATGTCAACAAGTCTGTGGTCTACTCATTTACATATCAAACCAGGAAGGTTTTACCAAGAGGTTGTGAAGGCTGTTCTAGGTGCACAACTTTAAAATGGCTTAGTAAGCCGATGTTGAGCGATTGCTAATCTTTGTAGATAATCACAGATAAAGAACCATGTATTTTATATAAAGTACGCTGTGAATAAACCATTGTTACCGGCCATGTAGTTATCATTACTAGGCGTGATGCTGGAAAATTCCCCCGAAACACTACTAACTCTTAGACTTTCCAAAAAGTCCTTTTTCTGATTCAGTATGGCTCGGGACGAACGGACAACTTCGTCATTAGCATGGCTGCTTTGCGGCCGAAAAAACTCGCTCTGCTCGCTAAGAAACTCATGAGGTCGACTTGTAGCAAGTCTATACTTCCTCTCAGTAACCAAAGGTTCCAGCCGTCGCTCACCTAAAGTAAGAGCTAAACAGCTGATGTACTCTTTATATGGTTCGATCACATCGATTTACTCAAATCAGTAGTCAAACAATTTTGACATGTTTCATGTCTTTCCCAAGAAAGACCTGAAAGAGCAGAGACAGAAAGATGAGCATGCGCGCGTTAGCCTATAAATCACCTCAAGTTTTGCCATACCTGCTTATATCGCGCCATATTTTTCGTTGGTGTTCGTAGGTACATATATGTCGGGTTTTTTTTCCCATTTTCTCACTCTACAAAACACCTCCGCATTGTCCTAGTTCCTAGAAAACCCTCAAAACTTCGTCTCCAACAGGGTATGCAAAAACCCCTGGGAGCGAAGTAAAAAACTTTCACTTTGAAACCGAGGCTGAGTCGACACCTTTCATATCAAAATGAGTTCTAATCGCATTGACAATAGAGCACCATTTTGGCGTAAAAAATGCAATTTTTGTGTTGTCCTGGGGTGGGGCATTTGCAGACTTTTTAAAGCCCCACCGTGAGGTTTTTGTGTAAACCTCCCTGCCCTACAGTCAGCTGTACCGTAAGGCATTTGCAGCTTTTCCAAAACAAAATGACGGATGCCCGACAAATGCCCTGGGAAGATGGGCACACTTGGAATTGACAGAGCCATTACTCAGACAAGTAGTCAAATAAAGCTACGGCAAAGCGGGCAACAAAACCGTGCAACCTGGTTTGCAACATTCCTGCAAAACCAATTGAAAAGCAATGTAGCGCGTTTTACGGCCCCCTTAAGAAATAGTACTACTCTCTACTTTCGACAACCACGTTTCCAGCGCAACCTGCGACAAACCTGATTTGCTGCCAGACAGGTTTTATTTGTGAATGGTAGAACGCCTAACATCGCTATGCAACTCGTTTTTCCGCACTGTTTCAACACAAGTTGCACTTTTTCGCTGTCCGTTGTTTGAAATGAATAGTTTGACACTTTCCCAAGAAAGACAGAAAGAGGACCGTGCGCATAGCCTAAAAATCATCTTAAATTTTTGCTATACCTGTGATCGCGCCATATTTTTGTCGGTTTCGCGCTTACCATTGGCCTGTAGTTCTGAAAAAGGGTCTTGGAGAAATTTGAAAATCACGAGCTCGAGCCTATTTAACATAAATCATGGCGTTTTAAAAATTTTCCGCTTGTTTAGACATTTGAAACCAATGCAAACAAATATTTTATGTGAATGATAATAAAGCAATTTGACAAGCAAAGGATTCTCATTCTTTCCCTAATGGATGGCACTGTTCATAGACAGAAGCAAACGAAAGTTCTTGGTTTAACAGATTAATCAAGCATCAAGGTCAGTTTATACCTGGTCCGGGCGACAGTCTCCGATAACCTTAACTTAAAGCAACCTACAATAATTATTTCGGTATTACTAAGTTGTAGTTTTGGATTGAACCCCTCAGTATTCGCTGTGTTTTAGGGATGAACTACACAGGAATTCAAATTAGTCCGCTGAAGAGATGAGTCGATATTGCAAATCTTAGCTTCTCCGCAACGTGTCCCATTAATTCAGAGGTCTATAAGCTTCTGCCCCTCTAACAAATCCCCTAACCGTTCATGATTAAATTCATTTTCCTGCGTACTATGTGTATAGTATGCATGGCTTCTGATAGCACGCAAAGCCGCGACAACGAGGCGTATTCAAACAGTGGACTTGAATTGGCGAAGCATTTGAATCGTACCGTGATTTCCTAAATAACCCAAACGTTAGAACCCCCACCTACAACACTGAGTAATCAGAGGCTTTCATTTGACTACAAGTCACACTTTAATTAAGAGTTCATCCACAGACTCAAAATCTCGAACCAACTTGTACAGCATAACAAACAGTACGACTGGAGAAAGTAGTGCTTGAATGGTCACACGTTAATGGATTTCATCCATACACCCTTTACGACACAACATACATCACCGCTGGAAAGCACTGATCTTCAGTTGAGGTCCTCATTTGAATGTTCACGCGAAAGTATTAAAACTGAGAACCACATCTTAAACATATATTCATCAGTACCACAGGACATTACTGCTCAGTTACGGAGCGGTCATTTGAAAGGTAACAATTCATAATTTCATTCATTTGGCCCAGAAAGCAAAGTTAGACCTACAAGCTTGTGCAACTACGTATTTGCTGGCAAAGACGAGAAGACATCTGTTCTAGGTAACTACAGTCAACAAACCTACGGTGTGAAGTGTGAAGGTGTAATCTCCAGCTTAGATGACAAAATGATGAAAAAATAAGTTTTTTTTACATAAAAGTACCTTTGTGTAAGCGAATAACCACAGGAGACCCACACAATCTGTGGGTGCAACCGATTGTTATTTTAAAGTAATATCGCTCAGTATGTATACAATACTGACATAAACACACGTTCGAAAGGCACTACCTGCAGTAGGACTTTTTTTGCTTGGGATTCCTGTTGTCAGAGGTTAAAGGTGGTTTGCGATCAGTCAAACTGCGTCACCGGGTCTTTTCCGTTAGAAAGCAGGAGAGGCCTCGTTGCATATTGGGAATTCTAAAACTAGTTATTACTAGATTGAATCACTAATTATTACAGATCGGCGTTCGTCACTTACAGAAAAATTACGGAAACGAAATCGAGTCGAAAGGAGTCCAGTTCCCCGGCCGAGGTGCCCCTGATAAAATTAATAGGGGAGGCTAATTTGCCGTCGCCCGTGATAGCTCGAAAATTTCTGCCTTAGTGCCACAGGAACACCAGATTAGGATGCGTTTTTACGAACGCGGTAATAAGGGGTTCAGGGTGTAACGCCAGTATTTTATCAGTTGCGGGTATCGCTTAATAGTCTTTATATTAAGAACAACTAAAGAATGCGGAAAAAAGAAGAAATAGAGAAAGCGGGAAAGGCAATGCCTTCATCAACTATAATTTACTTGGGCTCTATATTTATTTGGCTCTGTTTTATTGTATTTGTCCTTTTCTCTTTCTCTCTTCTTAATGCCTGCATTCATACCCTTACGGTTAAACTCCAGTTTCTTGACCATCATTGCTATCCGCGTCCTTTCTTGTATGATAGCCGTGACCCCACTTGTGTCCAGGCGCATGGCGAGATCGTAAAAACACTGAACCACCTCACCCGTGCAACAATCCCAACTGGGACTGCTATAACAGGCGTATGAATTACATTCAAACCCCGTTAAATACAGACACTGTGCTTTCGGTGCAACGGTTTCTGGGATGGGGTGGACAAGCGTTACTTATGATTGGTGGATGGTATCCATGACAACCATTAACCGATTATAAGTAACGCTTGTCCACCAAACGATCCCGGAACTCGTTGCGCCAAAACGCTTATACCCAATCTCCCTATATTATTAGTTTCTGGAGAGTGAAATTGTAAGGGCTTTCTTTCCCCAGGAACAGAGTTAACTTTCCGTAATAATGAGGTGTCGTTATTAAGTAGATTTCCGTAAAGCGGGTTTTGACTGTAACTGTTCTTGCCCCCGGCTTTTAAGACAGATATAGAGGACATTCTTGATTGAAATGATCGTATTTACCTATGCTTCTTAGGATTGGTCACAGTCGAGCGGTGTACGAAGTCAATTTGAATTCCAGTACTTCAGTCTCTGGGACTAACACTGGCGTGGATGGCAGGAAGGTGACAGAACATGAAGAAACGATTCTTCTTGGCTCCGCTACAAAAATGGTTTGTATTCTCTTTTCAAAAATTTATTATATTTCCTTTAGGTAACCTGGGCGTTGCAGAGTCCCACACTCACGAAAAAACGACGCCTTTGTCGTGGGAAGACGGCTGAAATTGGTAGATAATAAACGATTATTGAATGAGGCTGAGTATGATATGAACAATTATGAAGCACGAGGAGGTTGTCATCCGCCGAGGCGGGAAACCAAATGGACAACTCCCCTCTGAAATCTACCTGACTCTTCGCCAGATGAAAGCAGAAATCAATAATTGTTTTATCATTTATTCAAAATATTTCGAAGGCCTTAGCAGCATCCTGATCCCCAAGTAAATCTCTTTTTAAAATATTTGCTTATTTTTCGGCAATTTCAGAACATAAATGTATGTTTCTCTCTTGTACGTATTCCTCAAAAAGCAGTTGAGATCCACTGAGCAAAATTTGAGGGTATTCTTTCTATTATCTTAAATAAAAAAAACCTGCTATTCTGTGTTCTTTTACTAAACTCCTTCACCATTTTCTGAGTTCTGCACTCATGCAAAAGCAGCTAAGCTAACGTGCTGCTGTTTTGCGTGAAGTCAATGATTTTATATGGCAATGTACAATCATTGACCTCAGAGTGACATCAATGATGGTATAATCTACACTCCTTCCAATTTTGGTCAGCGCTAGCTGGTTATGAAAAATTAGCCGGGGCTTAAAACCAGCCAGACACAGAGAAATATTTTGAATGAATAACAATATACAAATGTCTTCCGAAGGATAGCCTTTGAACGCAGACGCGTAACCGATCATCGCGTCTCTCCACCCGCCGAAACTGCACATACGTCTGCGTTCGTGGCTACCCGAAGGGGAGAAAATAAGAAGGTAAAATTAAAATACGAACATAATGTTCTACCTACCAGTAAACACCGACAAGCAAAATTTTGGGGCATTCGTGGTACAACTGTTTCATTTGCAGCTAAAATTGTGTCTTCCTTAACTATCGCGAAACGGGACGCCATGTTGACTCCGGTTCCAAAACAGTGAATAGCCAAGGATATTTCTCATTACGGAAGCCAATCAAAACGCGCGATAATTGCTATCCACTGATTTGTAAATAACAAAGCTTTTTATTTGGGCCTTGAAGACAAGGTGATGCATTTGGTCTTGAAGTATAGATTCGAACCCTCTCAATTACAAAGCGATTACGTTTGGGTTAGGGAAAGTGGCCATTTAATACAGGTTTTGTCCTTACAACAATCTACCTACAGTAGTACCTACCAAGTCTACCTAAATAGAGAGCCGCTTCTTTATAGAAGTATGACTGTTATGTGTCCGTAGCAAAGCTGTTCGCTTTGCAATTGCATTGTATTTCAACCCTTTTCATTTTGTCTCTTTTAGTACTGTATATGACTTGCGTATACCTTGGTACGCGGCGAATTGCTGTTTACCCTGAATATCGTTATCAATTTACCCATTTTTGATTACAGAATCCAAAGAAGGGTGGAGACATTCAGTTCAAATTTACCAAGTTTCCAGTACGGAAAAGTGAGGAAACGAAACAAGAAGACCCAAATTTAACTGCTGGTGTTGTAAAATAATAGAACATGGTCTGCATGACTGGTCATTTTTCTATATTTGTTTTGGTTGCGTTTGTGCTCATGTCTCTTCTAGGAAATGTGAAGACAATGGAGTCGTCAAAAATTTGCAAATTTGTCCCTAAAGCCACGGATTCATGTTAGAATTTTTTCCTCCTAAACAATGTTTGAGTCTTGTTTTAGATAATTAGGGGTGAACTCACATGAAAAGGAGTACTATTATAATCGAAACATTCAGCTCTTTTAGACTTGATAAGTTACAAATTATTTGTTATAATAAGGCAAGAGAACAAAAAGCTGTACTGAAAAAATGGCTTTCATGAGAATTGTGTATCTCTGCATAATGTAACGTTTTATAATGAAATAATAGAGCTGGTAGCGTCCCTGCTGGTAATAAAGATTCGAAAAAATCAGAGCTTAACTTACATTGCTTCCAGAACTAAGAGGCGTAAGCGAGCTTTTTATGTCAGTAGGAACCAGCCCCTACCCCTCCCCTAGGCCGCACGCAGTCTAGTCTGAAATGTCACACGTCTCTATCCCGACGGGTTAGGGGTTAGAGACGTATGACGAGACTACGCGCAATCCGATCTTTCGTAAGGAAAAGAATAATTGAATTTATGTTTCCCGAAAATTTGGTTTCACAAATGGCATGTAGAATTTAACACTTTACTTTTTTTTCAGTTATTTGCGGAGTAATCATAATAATCTCTACGAAGACGGAAAAGTTTGAGGGGGGATCAAAACAAAAAGTTTGAAGAACTAATTTTGTTGTACGTCTGCATGCATTACATGCCTGTGTTTTTACTTTTAATGATTGGGCAATATAAGCATAGTCAGCCCACATCAGCATGTGGTGTGCATAGAGCAACTTGCTTTTACGACATCATGGATAAAAGTGGGTCCTTTTCTTTTAAATGGTTTTTCTCAACCTTTTTAGAACTTGTGAAAAATCTTTTCATTCGCAAATATGCCTGTTATTCGCCAGACATTGGTATGCAATCCCGCTTATATTGTCACAGAACGAAAAAAGTGCGAATATAGAATACATTATTATAGTAATTAATAATACGCTTGAACAAAGTTTTTGTGCGTTGCTTTATATTCGCCGCTCCGTTCCACGAACAAGTATTTATGTTTAGCAGCTTTTCTTTGGTTTAAAAGAGTTAAGCCGACGTTTTTGAGCAAAAACAGGACAGTGATCGAACTAAGTCCAAGGAGGGTAACCCAAGTTTTGGTTGAGTAAATGCGATTGAAAAGCTAATGAATTCGTAAAAACGAAAGCATGTGAATTTTTTCACAACACAAATATCGCACAGAGAAGCAAGTTCAACTTCTTGGCTTGAATACAACTTTGAAAATCTTTAGTCATCTTCCTACAGAGGCAATCGAAGAACTAGGACTTCATTTGGGACGACAGAGCATCTTATTTGAACGACCGTCCCAACGTATACTGCAGCCATGACTGAGTGCAAATATACTTTTCGTTTAAAGATTTTGGTCGTCTTGATGTTGGCAGGTAAGTGGAATATGTTATCTAGATGTAGCGGTAAATCGATTTAAGCATTGTCTTATGGCAGTAAAATCATAGCTGAATACATATTTTAAAACTTTTAAACTCTTTTTTAAGAACGTTCAAGATGTTAAATGTTGACCTCGCTTGTCAAGAGTTGACCGTTCTTTGAATCTATTCATTAAAATTACATATAGTTGTGAATATTAATCTTTCTAATTCCTGGGAATGATTCTTGTTGAAAGTTGTAGGGAATTACTCATTTTTGTAGCAGGAATGGCTCAATACGGTTCTAAATTTATTTGGCAGTGGCAAAGAATTGGCTGAAAATTTTATAAAGTTGAAACGACCAAAATAACTAAATGTTGTTTGTTGTCGTTTTGTGACAATTCAAGCATGCTATATGACGCAAGAAATAACAATTATCCATTATAAACAACAACAATACAAATATAAACAGTTTGTCGCCAAGGGTGATGCGACAAAACTCTAGAAAATTCAATCAGGAAAAATTTAGAATTCATTGTCTATGAATTCTTTACTTTTTATTTCTCAAATATTAATTTTACGTTTACTACGTGTTGGAGAAACAATGTCTGGGTTTTGATTCTCTTTGGAGCAACGACTTGGTTAGGTGTTATGAGTCCCAAGAATGAGTCTGGAATCTGGAATCCTGGGTTTTGGAATCCGGAATGCAGCTTAAGGATTCCAGAATCCCACTAACGATTGGAATCCAGAATCCAAGTTCTACTGACAAATACTGGAACCCAGCACCTGGAATCCGGAATCCACATCGTAGAATCCAGAATCCAAGACTGTCCTGGATTTCCTTACATGGGGCGATATGAGCTAACAATAGGGTTCCAGAGTGTGACGTCATAAAAACAATGATTAAATTGGTGAATTTATAGGATTTGTCTTTTAAATTAGACCCAGACCCAAGTCAAATTTAAAGGGATTTGTATGGAGTCGTCAGAGCATAACTGGGCTAATATCTCAGAGACAATTTGCCCCACAATGCTAGTTTTAGCAAGTAGGCCTCTTGGATGTTGTTCTTTCAGAATATCCTGACAAATCCCATAATTTCACAAAATTAGTTTTTATGACGTCACACTTTAGAAGTCTATGATTTGAATACAACAAACTCTGTCCATTTTGAAAGCCTCCAAAAAACATCACTTTCTAGGGCTGTTTATTAATCGGTCATTCTTACAAACATGGATCGCATTTAAACTCGAATTCTCTGTAAACTTTAACATCCCGGAGAAAGGTTAAACAAACAAAAGAATAAATAATGAATAGATTACTTAATTAATTAATAAAAACATCCAAGACGGACATATGTAATTCAAATAAATCATAACTTGGGAGCAAAACATTTGGGGTAAAAAAAATACCTGAATCTTATCATCATTTTTTTCTGTTTTGACCTTAGCCAGAGCATACACGAATACAGTAAATTTCGAGGCTTTCACCTGATTTGCTATATTTCACGCAATCTACAAGAAAAATCTGCCCCGCAGACAACATCAGCGTATCTGGAACGAAAAATGTGAATTTCAAACCCCTCGAGGGGACTTATCAGGACACGGCTCTGGCCTTATTTGACACACTCCAACACACATTATCAGGTGTTTGATATTTGATATGGATATTTCTTTGTGCAAAATTATAAGCAATACATTTAAAGGCAAAAAAATATTGGTTTTCCTTTGTGAAAACCCTATATGAGGCTTCCTTTGCACCATAAGCGAGACGACGAGCACCTCGTTACTTTTATATGGGAGACCCCTTTCTCCCACTCCTTGGAGTTCAGCGAAGGAATTTGACTGATACACTGGTGTAGACGAGAAGTGATACGGAGTGTGGAGAAAGAAGACGGAAGGAAGATCTCTGGGGAAAGGGATGGGTAAGGGAGAGAAGGAAAACTAAACGAATGTGACACTTGCATAGACAAGGTGACATGGGGTGTGAAGAGAGGGTAGGAGGCAAATGGGAAGAGGAGGGGAGAAGGAGAAAGGTTTTGCATCTTGACCAGTTGGGTTTACAGGTGATGAGCGAGGCGCTAGGTCTCCCTCGTTTTGTTTTGTTGTTACTGTCGTTGTTTGTTTGTTTTTGTCTTTAATTCGTTCGCCAAGATCAAGTTAAAGTGAGGTACATTACATTGTAAGAAGTACGTGATCTTAGTTGGCCAGCAAACCAATAGAAACGGTTGAAAATAATGAATTTAGGATTTCACTAGAGCCTACAGAGCGTTTTCACATAAAGTCCCGTCTGCCGTGTTGCTGTTCCAAATGTTGGACATGTTGAGGTTCCAAACCAATTCTGTGAGAGTTGACCTATTTTCTTATGTAAAACTTTCTTTTGTTCTAATAAATTTGCATAGATGGGTGAAAAAGCTTTATATCAGACTTTGGCGGTTTTTCTCACGGTACCGGATAGCTTTTGCGCGGGCGCGAAAATCATACCGCATAGGGCTTCTGTTCACACATAACAACGGTGATTTCGGCGCGATTTCTGTAACGGAGCGAAGCCACACCTCACTGATCTCTAAAGTGAAGAATCACATATCGGATAGGTATTCATACCGATACTACCGGATAGCTTTTACGCCGGCTCGAAAACCATACCGGATCGGAAAGGGCTCCTGTTCGCACAGGTAAAGAACGGTGATTTCAGCGCGATTTCTGTAACAGAGCGAAGCTGCGCCGCGCCGATCTCTAAACTGGAGAGTCACATATCGGATAGGCGTTCATACTATGCTATCGGATAGCTTCTGCGCTGGCGCTAAAACCATACCGGATAGGGCGTCTGTTCACACATATAAAGACCGGTGATTTTGGCGCAATACATTCAGTTAAGGGAGCGAAGCTGTGCCGCGCTGATCTCTAAACTGGAGAGTCAAATGTCGGATAGGTGTTCATACTATACTACTGGATAGCTTTTCGTGTTGGCACGAAAACCATACCGGGTAGGACTTCTGTTCAGTTAAGGGAGCAAAGCTGCGCTGCGCCGTTCTCTAAACTGGAGAGTCACATATGGAATAGGTGTTCACACTATACTACCGGATAGCTTTTCGTGTCGGCACGAAAAAAGCTACATGTTCTAGTGTGAATATAGTCTTTGAGTTCACTCGGCTAAATTGGCACTGTAGGGCCACAACAGATCCTTTTTTTACAACGCGAGTGGTAAATCCCTCAGCTTTTGCTGAATCATATACAACTATCCCCCGAAGGGGACTGAGTTGAATAGTTAACAATAATTCCTCGAGCCAGAAAGGGCCCGGAGTCAATAGCCCATGAGGTTGAAGGCCGAATGGGCTATTGCCTCAGAGGCCATGAGGTTGAGACGAATAATTGTTTTCGTAAAATCCAACTAGTTGGTCAAAAATATCGAGACAAAATAACTTTAGCTAGCAAAACGCGATTCAGCCGCCATTGTTTTGGTTTTTCAAAGCCGGCGCTTTTCGCTACTAGTGGGCTATAACATATAGCCTAGTAGTAGCTCAACCAATCAGAACGCAGCATTGGTTGGATTTTACTAATAGTGGATATATAATAAGACGGGAAGCGTCGAGGTATATACCTAGCACTGTTCACAGACCCTGAGGGAGATAGTTGTTTTAGTATTTACCAAATCAGTTTGATAAAAAATTAAAAGAGTTTCTTTTTGTCAATTAAAAACGTTACTTAGTAGGAACTTTATTTACAATTTACAAACATTCCGGGCATTTTGTCAAGTGCATTTTTACGATTTTGTTGCAAATTCAGCATGAAAATAATTTTCTACCTACCAGTAAACACCGACAAGCCAAAGATAGTCGCTTTCTTGGTATTTGTTTGTACGACTGCTTCATTTATCGCTCAAATTTCGTCTTCCGAAAATGCCTCGAAGCGGGCGCCATCTTGGCTCCGGTCGCAAACTCAATAGCCAAGGATATTCCCAGTTACGGAAGCCAATCAAAACGCGCGAAAAGTGCTAGTGGCTGAAGTGGTAAATGTAAGGCATATTGTTTGAGAGATCCGCACTTTAAAAAAGTGGCAATATTAATCAAAAATAATAAGGTGATTAGAAAGGAAGTGCCAAGTCTTTAGACTCTAGTAGAGAACTGTAAATTTACTGATGAGTTTATTTGCCTGCACTGACAGATAACATGTTTTTGTCTGACTTTTAGGATTAGCAAGTGGCGACGTCTTGGATGATCTATTTAATGATGACGATCTCCGTAAGTCGTAAACAGTAGCAATTATATCCTGTTTGACCGTTGTCGGATATGAGATTACTGAGACAATACGCGACCCCTGGAGGGTAACCCAGGACATTTTTTGATGGATGTGTGCACGAAGCATAATCCTTCCACCTCACAACCTACATTTCGGACATGACTCCAAAACTCAATACCCCCCAAAAAAAATATATCAAAAAAACTTATATTGCGTATATAGAAATATTTTCATATCCGCATAACAAATAAGTCGAATTAAGTCGAATCATACAGTACACTCTCGCTGATTCAAGTTCAGAGCTATTCACCAAAGCGCAAATGACAATAGACAAGTCCCTTGTTTAAAATAGAAACTGAATCGAATTGTAAAATTCATACTCAGACTCAGACCTAAGTATGGCTCATGCACTTGGGTTCAAATTGGCTTAGCCTTAGTTTTGTTCTGTTGCTCAGCGAGGCGTCTTTTTTCGCAGTTTTAATTCTTACTAACCGCTTTCCGCATCTTTCACCTTTTTGTGAGCACCAAAGAAAGATTTAATTAATAACCCATGGGATTACAGAAAGTAAGATACGACCGGGCAAAATCAAAGTTACTCCAGCGAAGCAAATTCATGAAAAAAAGAAACGACACTGTCATGATCCATTGTCATTATGTTGATCAAAATTTGGAACCCCTCTCCAACTATTATTTGCTATTCTCACGGGACTCCCCTGCGCGCACTTTCTACAAGGCTTTCTCTTCGCCCCAGTCCATGACTGCAGGAGAGCCCTTTCACTGACTCACACATCCCACATGTGGCGTCGACAAAGGACTTAAACCCAGAATCGGTGCATTGAGGGGGTGCTTGTTTTAGTTGTAATTATGGTTTGCTGGTGACTAATTGTTTCTTTCCTATCTCCACAGTTCTCTATGTGGCCATAGGATTTCTGTGCTTTGCTGTGTTATTCCTGTTCGTTGTAATTCTGTTTATCTCCATCGCTGTCATCAGATTAAAGAAAATATTGAGGTAAGTAGCACACTTTGTTTTTCAAGGTTGCCAATAACTTGCATCTTTTGCATACTGAAAAGTAACAGCCCGAAGAGGAAGGGGGGGGGGTATTTCCTATAATGGCCTATACGGTGAGGTCCCAACCGAAAGGGGTACCCGGCCTTTTTCAGGCTTTAGGTAAATGAAAGAGTAGGGATTTCACTAGTTGTGAAGTATCTGAAAGGGTAGAGAAATCTGTTATTTGGTTCTAGGAGTCAACAAGAGGTCTGGGTGCGAGATAATCCAATTACTTGGGCGTGACGCCTGCTGTCCTATGACACTGTTCTTTTGGTGCTGAAATCTGGACAGTTGATAGCCAATTAGATTTGACAATCTTGTTATAGTTCTGATTAGTCCTTATGACGCCTGTATCGTACCGCAATTTCAGAAGGATTGTACGAAGTAATCAGAGCATATTAACGGTGCTTAATATCTCCCTACCAGTCTTTGCACTAACAGCCCGATTTTTAGCACGGAGGCTTTTTCCACCTTGTTCTTTCTGAATATCCCAACCAATCCCATGGTTTCCCAAATTTGATTTCTTTACATTGGGTAGAAAAAGTTACTCCAACCGCGATACGCTGACGATAGGCCATGCGCAGGTTGGTGTTATTATATTAGTATACTAAATATGTTCATTTGTGATTTTAAGGGCTAGAGAGTATGACTTCCACAACCGAAACGGTGAGGTGATATCAAATTCCCATGCTATGTCAGGACGGTCACTGAATAGTGCTACAAACTGGAGTCATTTCTTCCCCGAAAGCAGAAATGGAAGAGAATCGAACAGCAATCTAAACTTGGAGTACCAAGATTACATGGACTTGATTATTATGGACGCTTCAAGAGTGAGCCTCCCTCGTGCCAGACTGGACAGCGAAAAGACGACTTTCTAAGTTGATAAGCAACTGCTGGTTTTCAGCTGACTGATGTCACTGTGGTCATGCTTCATGTAAATTCTGTGAAGAAACTTTTGTTTACATTTTTCCTCTCACTAGCATATGCATTTCATTCTCTGATCAAGCTATTAAAATAAACTCTCTGAATATCGAAAGAGCATAACAATTACAGTTATCCGTGAAAATTTGAGCCTGTTTAAATAAATAGTTTCGGATAAGTTAACTTTGAAAAACTCGAAACTTTACAAAGAATGTATGGGTTCATTAGCGTTTTTGACACCCGGCAATTTCGCAGCTTGGAAGGCTATTTTCTTTGCTATTGCTTGCAAAGAGCGGAAGATTGCACAAATTGCTCAAATTAATCAACTCTTTCGACTCTTGAATTTCATTTTTGCATAAGGTAACGCCCTCTAAAGGTTAACTTTTTATGTTAATGAGCAAAAATGAAAACAGTGACGTCAGCAAGGATTCGCCTATTGTTTTGTCAACCGAAATGCCCGTCTTGTTAAGTGATTACAATCAAGAATTGCACTGTAAGTTTTAGCAAGAGAGAAATCTACTGTCAGTTCCAATCTCCTATTTCATTAATAGCATATCAATTGTAATAACGGGTGTCTAACCAAACTTTCACTGAATGCAGATCAGTTATTTTTTCGTCCATTTTACAGCTTGTAGTACACAACTGGGGCAGAGAGGAAAATAGTATTGGCTGTTAATCTCTGTTAAATATTTCCGTTTAAAAATTTTAAATCGAACGGATTCCGAAAAGCATACAAAGGCTTTAAGAGCGATGCATTGTTGTACTAAGGTCATTTCCTGCGTTTTTAAATTGTTTCTGGGGAATGTTTGGTCCAGTGCGGGGCCGGGGGGCGGGGGGGTGAACACGCAAAAAAACCCGGTAAATTAGGAACCAAAGACGAATGATTTACAAGCTTTTTTAAAGTTCTTCCAACTTATTCGCCCAAAAAAAACTGAGAAACAAAGGTATTAACCTTAGCGTATCGTTTTTATAAAATAAATTATAGTGAAAAGAAAGGTGTTCAGTTTTCCCTGCTTTCCATTGTGATTATAGTGATTACAGCAAGGGATTTACAGCCTCTGTAATTCTTCCTTAGCTTTAAATATTTCATTGGACAGCTAAGCCACAATTGTTCCAACACGTTGTCGGTGATGTCTGGGACTGTAATTGAAGAGCAAAATAAGATTGCTATATCATTCTACCGTATTCCTGTTGCCTGCACGTGCATTCATAGTTATTCTAAGCGTCTCTCTGGCTTTAAGGTGATGTTACACGAGTCTCCTAACCGTCCCAAGCCTGCTACTTGAAAATTCCTAATTTCTCTCGCCCGCGTTATGGAGTTGGTGAACATATAGCCTGCGTAGCTGGCGGTATTGTCTCGGTGCGCGATTTAAGATTTGGCGGCGGAGCCGTGATCTAAAAAAGAGAGTGGGGACGAAGCGTTTGAAATACTTATTTCTCGTGGCTTAGGCTAAGGCTTACGACGCTCGTGTCAGCTTTGCCGCCAAATCTCACTCAAGAACTCACACTGAGTTCTACACAATACAGCCAGCTACGCAGGCTATTAAATGAAACTGAATAAGATCAATTAACTTTGAAACAGTTCGAATTCACTTTTTAAGTGGCGTTTTCGTTTTGTCGTCATCCATAAATTTAGCTACCATGGCAACATGACGTAACGACTGCTCCTCTTGCAAACTCTCCTTCCTTATCTTTTCCTGCCTCGCCCCAAAGTTGGCCCCAAAGCGCTCCGGAGAGCTTTAACCTTGGACAAAACAGCTGGAAAATTTGTACCCCGCCTCCCCACAAATCAAGAGTGAGAAAATGGCTTATTTTGGCTTTTGCGCGGCTTCATCCTTGATTTCGGGGGGGATTGGGGGTTTGCTTTTCCATTTTATTCTGTCCAAGATTGTTGCCGTCCCTGCACAAATGGGTCAATTGATTCTGCTGTGCTCCCTCGCCGGACCCATCGCCGCTGTCACAGCGTTTTGGGCATCCCCGCGTTTTGGGCATCCCCATTCCCAAATCCCTAGCGTTTTGAGCATCCCCTTCTCATATTACTGCAGCGTTTTTGGCATCCCCCGGTACTCTCCCGGGATGCCCAAATCGCTAGTGTTTTGGTCATCTCCTCCAAAAAAATGCTGGATTTCGCGGGAAAATCGAAAACGTTTTAGAGATGGCTTCCGCTAAATATAGAAATCTTTTCCAGTATCTTAAAAAGAAAGCTTATCCGGAAGGCTTTACAAAGCAAAAAACCACTCTGCGAAATTTGCCAAAAAGTTCGAGTATGACTCAAAATTAGAGTCCTTGTTCTAGGTGGCCAAGGAGAAGGATGGCACAGCGCTTCGACGAATTGTTCACCGAGGAAGAGAAAGCGAGGGTCTTCGAAGAGTGCCACTCTGTTCCTTGTTCTGGACACGCCGGCCGCGATAATACTTTTGCACCCTGTGAAGGTTGTTCCCAAGGTGTGGTACTCAGTCGGAATTGATTTAATAGAAGCCCCTACTACATCTCAAAACGGCAACAGATTTCTTCTGTCCCGTAGGTGCAAGAGGCCTCTGTATAAATTGTGTGACAGCCTTTTGTGTGTCAAGTAGCGCTGCGGGGTTAAGTTGTACAGGCCTCAAATGTCATGCATACTATGAATTCAACACCGCAAAACGCAGTTTTATTCATGTTTGTCTTTTGATTGCTTTGTTTAGTATTCTTGTTTTTGGCTGTTTGGAATCAGACGATCGCAGCTGCCGGCGATTGCGGCATTTCTCGCTGGTAAACAGTTCTATTAAATAAAATTGAAGCTTTGCAAACAATGAAGCGTTGTACAGCGAAGGGATGTTATGCGGTTGTAAATTTCAGTTTCGTCCCGTTTTGAGCCAACGTTTACTGCCTATGGGTTTTTTTTCTGCGCAATAAACCCGGCGAAAAGTGTCAGACGATATAATTCTAACATGCATCTACACTATTCAGCCGTAAATTCGTGATTGACAATCCCGACTTTTCCCCAGTCTGAAATAATTTAGGCAAAGTCGAAGCGATCAGCGTTTTGGGCATCCCCCACCGGGGATGCCCAAAACGCTAGGGATATGGGAATGGGGATGCCCAAAACGCGGGGATGCCCAAAACGCTGTGACACCGCCATATTGGAAAACGAGAAGACCCTGGGGACGAGGTTGTGTGGTGGCGGTCAAGGTGGCGATTTGGTGGCAACCTCGTCCGCAGGGTCTTCTCGCTTTCCAATATGGCGGCGGCAGGAGAGAAGGTTGTGCAGTGATGCCAACTCTCCCGCTTTTGGTGGGAGACTTACGCTTTTTTGCCTCGTCTCCCGCTCTCCCGCTTTGGTACATAAATCTCCCACTTTTTACGTCCACTATAAATATTGAATACTTAGTAAAAAACAAAGCATACTTAGTTTGAGATTTAGCCCATTTTTAGCTCAAAACTTTGAATGAACTATGAATTTTTCTTATTAGCAGTACGGTTTCTGGGGCAATTTTGCACGTATTTAGTCATTGACAAAGATTATTTCTGGCATCAAAACGATGGTTTCGCATTTTGATAGTATGTACATCATGTGAGATGTCATATAATGTCCTAAGTCATTCCCATTGGGGGCTGGGTCAATTTTTCGGGGGGGGGGGTCGTTGAAATTCCGGTGGGGCAAGTGAAAAAAAAGACAGTCTCCCTATTTTAGGTCTCCAGCGGTTGGCATCTCTGGTTGTGTCCTTAAATCATAGCGTCAGGAGCTCATCAATTTGATGGGCTCCTGATGGCGTCCAAAAGGACAGCCGAGGAGTACTAGGAACGAGTTTGCGATTCAGGCCGACTTCGGAAATTCTCGCAAACATCCAATATGGCGGCTCAAGTGTGGTGGAAAACTGACAGCCAAAGGAGCCGTTTTATCGCCAGAGAAGCGTGATTTTACGGTATTGTTGACGAAGTTGGCGTTTATTGTGACTTTTGAAGAGTTCTTGGTCCTGTATAGTGAGGAATCCGTTTATAAATGCCTTATCAATTTGTCTTGTCCGGCTGGCCGGCATTAAGTAATTCATGGCAGTCTCCATATAGACTCCCTAATATATTAGTGCAATAGGTTATAATACCAGCATAACAAGTATACCCTTGTATACCCCTATATATCCTGTGTACCCATGTTTACCCTAGTAATATTGTATATGTTGTGGTTCAAATTTTTCCTTGGCTTAAAATTTTTCAAACCAGTTTAATTTTTCAACCAAGCAACCTATGCAACTGATATTAATATTATAAAGGAAAATAAAGGGAGATGTAAAGAATCAACCATAAGAGGACACAGAAAAAATCTGAGCCCCAGATGGGATTCGAACCTACGACCCTCCGTGTTCTAGATCGGATGCTCTAACCTCTGAGCTACTGAGGACTCGTTGGTGAGCAAGGGTCATTTTTTGTGGGTTGGACTTGCGAACCGCATCTCGCAGTCACACAGTCCATCACAAGTTTAATTTTTACTTTCCTTTGTCCAAAATCAATTACCATAATCAGAGACAAAGAAAAACAAAAATTAACCTGGTTTGAAAAATTTTAAACCAAGGAAAAATTTAAACCACAACATATGCCTTGTATACCCTTATATATATATATCTTGTATACACATGTTTACCCTAGTAATAGCTATAGTGTATACTCTGTATACCCCTATATATCCTGTGTACCCATGTTTACCCTAGTAGTACTGTATACTTTGTATACCCTGGTATATCCTGTTTAACCATGTTTACCCTAGTCACACTGTATACTCTGTATACCCCTATATATCCTGTGTACCCATGTTTACCCTAGTAATACTGTATACCTTGTATACCCCTATATATCCTGTGTACCCATGTTTACCCTAGTAGTACTAAATACCCTGTATACCCCTATATATCCTGTGTACCCATGTTTACCCTTAGTAATACTGTATATCCTGTATACCTCTATATATCCTGTGTACCCATGTTTA